TAAATGTCATGCCTTATTCAATCTATGCACTTAGGCGAATTGAAAAATGATGGTGTGATTATACAATTGGCCGATCGATCTAATGTCTATCCAAATGGAGTTTTGGAAGATGTTTTAGTGCATGTCAATCACTTAATCTTTCCGGCGGATTTCTACGTGCTTGAAATGGCCGAGTCGAACCATTCCCCTACATTGCCCATCCTTCTTGGACGACCATTCATGAAAATTGCCCGTACTAAGATTGATGTGTTTAATGAAACTTTGACGATAGAATTTGATGGGGAAGTTATCAATTTCAATCTTTCTGATTCTATCAAGTATCCTAGTGAGGATCACTCATGTTTTTCTATTGATGTATTTGCTTCTTTGGCAGAGGACCATTTTGAACAATTGAATGACGATGCACTTGAATTGGTCATTGCACGAGGAATGGACATTCAAAACAATGAAGCAATAACCATGCACCCTCATGGCATGAATGATTTTTCCCTTGTCGTACCCCCTAATGAAGACGTGATTGAAATGGTGGCTGCCATTGAATCATTGCCACTACAATTTGGTAAGTTTTTGGACCCAATTTCCATTTCAGTTTCGGCTAATAAGTTACTTTCCTCAGTTGTGCAGCCACCTACACTTGAACTTAAGCCATTGTCAAGCCATTTAAAGTACGTTTTCTTTGGCGATGATGAGACATTGCCCGTCATCATCTCAAGCACACTCACGGCACAAGAGGAGGACAAGTTGGTAAGGGTGCTAAGGGAGTACAAAACAGCAATTGGGTGGACATTGGCCGACATATAAGAAATCAGTCCCACCACTTGCATGCATCACATACTTTTGAAGGAGGGGTCTAAAACATCTCAAGATGCTTAATGCCGATTCAACCCTCCAATGATGGAAGTTGTGAAGAATGAAGGAATCAAGCTTTTAAATTGTGGAGTGATCTATCCTATTTCCGATAGTCGTTGGGTTTCGCCTGTTCAATGTGTTCCAAAGAAATCTAGAGTAACTGTGGTGACAAATGCCAAAAATAAGCTTGTGCCTACTCGAATCCAAACAAGTTGGAGGGTGTGTATCGATTATAGAAAGCTCAACGCCACCACTAGGAAGTACCACTTCCTTTTGCCATTCATTTATCAAATGCTTGAAAGGTTAGCGGGTTATGCTTTCTATTGTTTTCTTGATGGTTATAATCAAATTGTCATAACACCTGAGGACCAAGAAAAAACCATTTTCACATGCCCCTTTGGTACATTTGCTTATCGTCGCATGCCATTTGGTTTATGTAATGCACCTGCCACATTTCAAAAATGCATGATGAGCATATTTTCTGATTATGTTGAGAAATTTATTGAAGTTTTTATGGATGATTTCAGCGTTTTTGGTGATTCATTTGATGGTTGTTTGCATAATCTCAGTTTGATCTTAAAACGATGTGTTGAAACTAACCTTGTTCTCAATTGGGAAAAATGTCATTTCATGTTTAAACAAGGCATAGTTTTAGGACATATCATCTCTGAAAAATGAATGGAAGTTGATACATCAAAGATCGATCTTATACGTTACTTACCATCTCCTACTTCGGTTAGAGAGGTTAGTTCTTTTCTTGGACATGCAGGTTTCTATCGAAGATTTATCAAAGATTTCTCAAAGGTTTCTCCAATCCGGTAGAGCAATAATGAGAGCCGTGGTCAGCAACTCCTTGAGTTGTTTGAAGGTTTCTCCCATTATTGCTCCACCGGATTGGAGAAACCTTTGAAAAATCTTTTATAAATCTTCGATAGAAACCTGCATGTCCAAGAAAAGAACAAACCTCTCTAACTGAAGTAGGAGAGGGTAAGTGACGTACAAGATAGATCTTTGATTTATCAACCTCCATTCTTTTTTCAGAGATGATATGTCCTAAAACTATGCCTTGTTTAACCATGAAATGACATTTTTCCCTATTGAGAACAAGGTTAGTTTCAACACATCGTTTTAAGATCAAACTGAGATTATACAAACAATCATCAAATGAATCACCAAAAACGCTGAAATTATCCATAAAAACTTCAATAATTTTCTCAAAATAATCAGAAAATATGATCATCATGCATCTTTGAAATGTGGCAGGTGCATTACATAAACCGAATGGCATGCGACGATAAGCAAATGTACCAAAAGGGCATGTGAAAGTGGTTTTTTCTTGGTCCTCGGGTGTTATGACAATTTGATTATAACTAGAATAACCATAAAAAAACAATAGAAAACATAACCCGCTAACCTCTCAAGCATTTGATCAATGAATGGCAGAGGGAAGTGGTCATTCCTAATGGTGGCGTTGAGCTTCCTATAATCGATACACACACTCCAACCTGTTTGGATTCGAGTAGGCACAAGCTCATTTTCGGCATTTGTCACCACAGTTACTCCGGATTTCTTTGGAACACATTGAACGGGCGAAATCCAACGACTATCGAAAATAGGATAGATCACTCCACAATCTAAAAGCTTGATTATTTCCTTCTTCACAACTTCCATCATCGAAGGGTTGAGTCGGCGTTGAGCTTCTCGATATGTTTTATACCCTTCCTCCAAAAGTATGCGATGCATGCAAGTGGTGGGACTGATTCCTTTTATGTCGGCCAATGTCCACCCAATTGTTGTTTTGTACTCCCTTAGCACCCTTACCAACTTGTCATCCTCTTATGCAGTGAGTGTGCTTGAGATGATGACGGGTAATGTCTCATCATCGTCCAAGAAAACGTACTTTAAATGGCTTGGCAATGACTTAAGTTCAAGTGTAAGTGGCTGCACAACTGAGGGAAGTAACTTATTAACAGAAACTGAAATGGAAATTGGGTCCAAAAACTTACCAAATTGTAGTGGCAATGATTCAAGGGCAGCCACCATCTCAATCACGTCTTCATTAAGAGGTACGGCAAGGGAAAAATCATTCATGCCGTGAAGGTGCATGGTTACTACTTCATTGTTTTGAATGTCCATTCATCGTGCAATGACCAATTCAAGTGCATCATCATTCAATTGTTCAAAATGGTCATCTGCCAAGAAGCAAATATATCAATAGAAAAACATGAGTGATCCTCACTAGGATACTTGATAGAATCAGAAAGATTGAAATTGAACTTCCCATCAAATTCCATCGTCAAATTTTCATTAAACACATCAATCTTAGTACGGGCAGTTTTCATGAATTGCCGTCCAAGAAGGATGGGCAATGTAGGGGAATGGTCCGACTCGTCCATTTCAAGCACGTAGAAATCCGCCGGAAAGATTAAGTGATTGACGTGCACTAAAACATCTTCCAAAACTTCCTTTGGATAGACATTAGATCGATCGGCCAATTGTATAATCACACCATCATTTTTCAATTCACCTAAGTGCATAGATGCATAGATTGAATAAAGCATGACATTTATAGATGCACATAAGTCTAACATGGCAGATTCAAAACGAGTATTACCAATTACACAAGGAATGATAAAACTACCCGAATCCTTTCATTTAGTGGGTAGTTTACGTTGTAAAACAGCTAAGACATTTTCACTTACCTTGACAACCTCCTTGCTCGAAATTCTTTTCCTAGTTGTGCAAAATTCTTTTAAAAACTTGGCATACCTTGGAACTTGCTTAATTACATCCAAAAGTGGTATATTAACTTGAACTTTTTTAAACGTTTCCAAAATATCATTTTCAGTCTCCTCCTTCTTTGATTGCATAAACCTACGAGGAAATGGTACATTTGGAGGAACAACGTTAAATTTAATCAAAATTGGAACTTCCTTACCTTTGTTAGCCGAATTGGATAGTTTAAGAGCATTTAGGGCCGGTAGCAAAGGTGTTTCCACCCTTGCCGTGGGGGTGCTTTGCTCATCCTCTTCAATTATCAACTTTTCAACCTCATTGGAACGTAATTTGGAAGATTGGGGATCATATCCAACTTGTTTTCCACCTCGCAAACTCATGGCTTTGGCAGATTCAAATCCTCCATTCAGGTTGATAACGGTTGAACTAGGCAACTTACCTTACTCTCTGAATTGTCCCACAAACTCCGCAATCTGCCCAATTTGCTTCTCTATTTGGTCCACTCTTTTGTCTTGGTTTTGCATTGTTATGGCTTGATTTTCTTGCCCCTTGAGACAAATTGGTGAGTAACTTAAGAAGTGTGTCATTATCAAAAGATGTACTTGAGGTGTTTTGGGCAGGTTGTTGTGAAGCTTGTGTTGGTGCATATTGCTTGGTATAGAAGCCCAGAGGTTGCTGCCTAAAGCCTCCTTGTTGTTGAGGTTGTTAGAGCTCCCTCCACTTGAAATTTGGATGGTTTCTCCAACCTGGATTGTACGTATTAGAATATGGATCGTTCCTTAGCTGGTTTTGGCTTTGAAATCCAATTGCATTAGCGCTTTCCCATCCACCATTTTCAATCAATTGAGGGCACTTTTCAAAAGCAAGTCCTTGGATAGAACACACACCACATACACTTGGTTCTTTCATCCTCATTCCTTCGGCCATCTGAGACACAATGGAAGTAAGATTAGCTAATTGCGATTGAATGTCGGATGTGGAACTTACCTCATTCACTTGCTGTCGTGAGGTGTCCCTTTACCCAATGCCTTCGTATTGTTGTGCATTCAATGCACGGTTTGCGATTAGTGTCTTGGCAAACATAGGTGTTTTGTCCACCAAAGCTCCTCCCGCCGAGGCATCTAGCATTTGGCGTTCAATTGGTAGAAGCCCTTCTTAGAAATATTGAAGAATAAGCTTCTCCTTCATTTGGTGATATGGACATGAAGCAACAAGGGTCTTAAAACGTTCATAATAAGTTGAAAAGGTTTCACCTTGGTTTTGCTAAATGCCACTAATCCTTTTGCGTAGAAGAATGACTCGAGAAGTCAGGAAAAACTTCTTCAAAAACGCCCATTTCATACTCTCCCATGCTGTGACAGTTTCGGGAGCTAGTTCATACAACCAATCTTTAGCATTGTCCAAGAGAGAAAATGGAAAGGCCTTCATCTTCAAAATGCTCTATCAACATTCACGAGAGTCGTACTCGAACAAACAACATCAAACTCCTTCAAGTGTTTATTAGGATCTTACATGGACATCCCGTGGAACTTAGGAATGTGATGCAACAAACTTGATTTCAATTCGAACTCGTCCGTCTTCCTTAGGGTAGCCATGGGGTACTGGATGCATAGGGGAGCGGCATTGTCCAATCCCGAAGCGGAAAGCTTCTTGATTGTTCGATTGTCCGCTGCCATGTTGGGATATTCCTCTTCTTCTTCAAGTATTCTTCAAACTCAGGTTCAGGAATAGGTGGGTTACGATCTTGCTGATTCCTATTCCTTCTCAAAGTCCTCTCAAAATTGTCATCAAATTCCAAGATATGCTCACGAACCGAATGATAACTCTAAGTCATAAACTAGTATCTAAAACAAGAAAACAAACAAGGTCAGTAACTAACTAATATGACTCAACAAGGTAAATGAGGTTTCGGTTTTGACGAATTTGAAAACAAAACAAGTAAATTAAAGAACTAATGAAATTTGCATGAATTTGAGTAAATTGAATGGATAGAAGACTAGTTATGAGGTTCTTCTCCACACATGACGCACTTGCAAACAAAACGATTTCCAGTTGCTTTTCAATAAACTACGAATTCTCAACGCCCCAGATTAACTGTGAATTGCACTAATTAACCCTCAGATTTTCTTAATTTCATTGAATTGTATGATTGCATACAACAACCCAAAGCATTCCCCACAAATTCCCTACATAAATTGCATAATAGAGATACAAACAATAATTATTAAGTTCTATGAAAATCATAAGTATTGACGAAACACTTGTAACTATGAATTGCATGAAACTTATACTAAGAATTTACTTAATACGGTTGTAACGAGCAACCTTCACTACTTGTGAATATAAGTTCATAACGATTAGATGAAACTCTCTTATATCCTAGCATCAGATTTATGCTTAAAAATTAAGTGTCCACTCTCAACCAACACACACAAATCAGTTTTAATTCAAATGGATAAGTAAATTGAATTCATAACTTATGAATCACAACTAAAAGTAATCAAATCATATTGTAAGCATGAACATGGTTTCAAATTCCCTCTAGCTAAGAAGGTTTAGTTCCTCATACTTACAAAGCAAAGATAAACAAATTAAGACATTGAAAACAGAAAAAAGAAAACACATAAACGCTCAAACGATCCAAGTTGGATCGCAAGCACATCCAAGCACTTTCCTTCCCTTCCTTTGCTACGACACAAGGTGTTGGTGAGTATTTGAATATTTTGTTTTGGTGGTATGGAGGAATGGATGTGAAGATGAATTGATATGTTTAGATGAATGTTGTATTGAAATGAGGATGAATGATTAAGCAAAAACTGATTGTAATGGCTGCCACACACACTTCCTTTTATAGAGGAAGTGCACAGCATGAATGGATGAATAGTAATGTGAGCAATGATATAACTATGTCATCAAATTTTCTTCATTGCATTAATGCCTTTGGTAAACCATTAGCATGAAAGTCTCTACAAAGAGGTAGTTGTAAGAATCTTCATACACAATTGAACCTGATTTTGTATCAAATTTTTTGTTAGTTTCAAACACTCTACGTTTTTTCTTAAAGTCTCTTCATATCTTCTGTCCCCATCCTATAATCGCAATTTGTAACCGAGATACAAAAGTCTCTCAGTTTCAAAAATTTTATTTTTTTGTTTGAACAAACAATATTATCTACACTAAGAAAATGAAATAGACTTATCCTCACAATGAACTAGTAATAATGTGATTCAAATTTTTATTTAACGAAAAAAAAACCCAAAAGCTCTTATAAGTAAAAAAGAATACCGTACTAAGTGGCCCATTTCAATTTTTTTATTATTCCATCAATTTTTGCAGCAATCAAACTAACGGGTACATTTCGCTGTCATAAGATGAGACCCTGACATCTAACGGTCCACTATACACACAATTCAAAATCCTAACAACAACCAATTATTTGGAGATAGCCTTCTCCATTTGTATGGTAAAAATAGGAAATAAATGTCAAATATTTTGTATTATGTTTTAAAATTGATTAAGCTTGTGAAGTGAGTTTAAATCGTAAACAAACAAACAAATGAATTTAAATTTTTCTTCCAAGATTTAAATAACAAATCATCATCAGAATGGAAAGTTGTTCTCATCCACAGCAAGATCATTGCTGTGTAGGAAGGTGTCCTAAGATTATTCCATTTTTCATCACCTGACGAATTTTCATCACAAATACAAAATAAAACAATCTAAATTAATAATTCAGATTCAGAAGTATATCAGTTAGCATCACTCGATAACAAATATCTCAGATCAAGTGTTGGATAATTTGATTGCTTCATCCCAATCCATCATTACCACAACTAAATTCACAATTACTATAAATAAATAAAAAGATCAAAACTTTGATTAAAAAAAAGAAAAAAAAAAAAGAAATAATTAAGGTGGGAAAAAGGGGAGAATTACTCAGTGGTGGCTGATAATTTTTAGGTTCGATTCTGCCGGCAAGTTTCCTCAACCTTAATCAGAAGAGGGAGCTTGGTATCCTCATAGCAATCCCCCTTTCCTTCACCTTCCCACCAAAATTAAATTTAATTAAAAAACAATTGAAAACAAATTAAATACAAATAAAAAACAACCAAATCACAAAATTTTCAGGGAAATAAAATGAAGAAAAAAAGAAGGGAGAAAGAGAAGGCTCAGTTCAGCGGGGTTGTCGACACGCAAACCTTCTCTTGAAAAGAGAAGGCCTACAATCCGGTCTGTTGAGCTTGAATTTCATTGGGTCATCACCGCCAATCTCTTTCTCTCTCTCTCTTAAACTTTTGCTAACACAAATTGGATTTCTGCTAAAAATGGCGGTGGAGGCGTTGCTGGGTTGACTGGAAAGCGGGCGTTCGCCATGGTTTTATAGGGATAGAGAGAGCTAGGGTTTTGAGGGAAACACGGGGATTTCAATGGGCCTATATATTATCAACTGAATCGAACAGTTATCGTTTTGAAAAGCAAATGGGCTTTAATGGGCCACCATTTCTTTCCCGGACTTTTATGTTTCGGTGATATATTTTTCCAACTTTTTGAACAAGTAAAAAAATTTAATAGATTTTTGTCCATATAATGTCAAAAAATGCCTAATGTGCAGAATATATTGTCCGTACAATGTTCGTGTTTCCTCCGTGAGGTACTTGCTTATTCTCCATTTATAATTAACGAGTTTTTATCTTTCGAATATTATAATAAGAACTGGTTATTCTCTTTATTATCGTTTAGAGATTATATATGTAGATATTATTCAAAATGGAGATCTTTTAACTATTAATATGCATAAAAAAATGAACGGTTTATCAAGAGGATGTTACTTGTTATCAAAATCGTTGATTGGTTTAACATAGATGTATAACTAAAGGATCTTCAAATTAAATGATTTTTCTTTTTTTAACATATGTGACCTTTAGGTCATGATAAAGAAAAAAAATGATTCCGATTATGATGTTCGAACAGTAATGATTCGTTAATTGTTAGTAGAGGACAAGCAGGTATCCACGGGAGGAACATATAAGCATTATCCATATTGTTTGCATCCCTTTTAATAACTTTAAAACCTCTTGGTTTGGCACAGTTATTTAGTGTAACCTTAACCTTTTTCAAGCTTGGCTCGTTGCACTTGAATACTAAAAGATTGAGTACCAGTTTGGCACAGCTGAAATTATAAAAAAAGCAAGTATGAAAAAAAGTTAGGGCCTTTTTAGTGTTTGGTAAACACACTAAAATCAGCGTTTTTTTTCACCATTGAGGGTGGAAAAAAGCCAAAATCCTGAAGCTGCAAATCATAGTTTTGAAAAAACAGCTTTTTTTTTTTCAAAACATGTAGAGCTACAGTGCAATGTTAATGGAACTTTCTAAACTCCAATAACACCCTCGTTAGTTTTACAGAATGACAATCCTTGTCCCTAAAACAACGGATCTCTTTCCTATTCCCTCGTTCTCCCCCCGCATCAAATCCCTAGGATTGTCGTCGTCCCTCCTCCTCCCGCTCGACATCGACCACCACTGCACCAATGATTATCCCTCTCCTCCTTTCAGATCCTACACACGATCAAATGCGACATTAAATAGTATAATAAACTTAAAAAATAACCCATAAATTAATTTAATTGACGGAAATGCTTACAGTGATAAAAGGACCGATGATTTCTCCAGTAGCATGAATGATGATTCTCATCCGCAAGGAATTCACCAAATTAACACCCAATAAATTAATAAGATGCCAACCAATCTTATTTGCACGACACAAATAAATTCATCAAATTCAATAACAAACCCTAATTTAAAACCCAATAAACAAACCATTTATTTAATTTTATACCTCAACAAATATGTTTGTCCTCAAAGGTGTGGTCGGAGACGTTGACGCTCGAAGATCCAGTGAAGTTGAGATGAAGGAGGATGAGCAGCAGGGAAAATGAGGGAGATGAGAGAGAGTGAACGTAGGAGAGATTATAAATAAATAAAATTATAAGAGAAAAAATTTAAATTATTGTAATGTTTAATATAATATTATACTCTTTTTAGTCATTTAACATATGCACATCATTTTTATATAAAAGTTACCAAACACTTGAATACTACTTTTTTCGTTAAAGCACTTTTTAAAAAAAAAATGTTTATCAAACACTTATCTGCTTTATTTTACAACCTTTTATTCTCACATCACAGTAAAAACAATTTTTTTTAAAAACACAGCAATACCAAACTAGCCCTGAGTCTGATTTACAATCACTCAAAATATTAGGTTGTCTGATTTACAATCACTTAAAATATTAGGTTGGTATGAATTACCCCTTTTTAATACTTCCTATTTCTTTGCTGAAAATAACATGTAACTTTGTTAAATAAACACATAAACTCATGCATTCAAAGTTCCGCGTTCGATTCATTCCTCTCAACATTCCTATTTCATTGCACTACCAAATTCACAAAGTAACTTTGTTACCCGTAAATGCTAAGCAGCTATAGTTTCTAAGGATAATAGGAAAACTAAATTTTTAGAATAATTATGCTAACTAAATAATGTGTCACGAATAGGAATGAGCATGAGTATCAACGCTTAAATCATACTTCAATCATCAACTTCCATGCCATTTAATTTACAAAATTTTATCTAAAAATTTAATTTTCCTAATATTACCCTAGTTTTTAAATGAAAAAGCATGGAGAGACAACACTGTTACAACTTAAAAGGGCTCTGAATCTACTAAGATTGTCTCACTTTAGCTTGCAAGTGCAAAAGAAAACATAGGATTTTGTTTAATGTTTATCAGAGACAAGAAAACATACGAATTGAATATTAATAAGAATACCAATTCATCATATCACGTCCGTCACTACAAGAAAACACGGTATTTGCGACACTTCTTTTGCGACGCATGACGCGGCCGTCGTAATAAATACGAATTTCACTAATTTTCTGCGCGGTTAACTTTGGCGCTTTGTTATTTACGACCCCATTGAGTTCCGTCGCATGCGTGAACAAGTAAAAGAGAAGAGGAAAAAAGTTAAAAAATGAGACTCAGTACGCTCGAGTCTCCCTCTCGCTCTCCGCCTCTCTCCTTCTCGCTCTTTGCATCTCTGCCTCTCTGCCTCTTTTCAAAGCTTAAATCCTTCTCTGCCACTCTCGCCATAATCCTGATGTTGAGACGCAATTGAACCAGGTAAGAATTCATGGTTCTTGTTCCCTCTCTCAAATACCCCTTTCACTATCCCTAATTTTGTTCTCATCTATCCGTTCTTTCTTTTTGCTACTAGAAAGTCGAATTCAACGTCATCTCTTCCCATTCGGGTAAGATTATTCGAGGAATTATCTTCCAATTGTTTTTTCTGGGTATTGTTTCATCATTTTTCTGCAAATTTCAATCCTATCTATTCTCCATAAGCTCTCTGGTTGTTTAGGGGTTTTCAGTTTTTTGCTGCGTTTTACTTCATCACTAATTGTTAATATTGTTGGAGGATTTTTGTAATTGGAGCCAGTTTTTGTAATTGATGATGTTGTGATTCTGTACTCTATTAATTATGGTATTATTTTGTCAATTATCTGATGAAATGACGAGGATCATATGGAAACAGCTAACGATGTGTGAAGATTCATTTCAGAGTGATTTTAAGTTTATTGATACTTTTGTTGTCGAATTTGATTTTATTTAATCTGAGTTTTTCGTTCGTATGCTGTTGCAGCTTAGTTTTCCCTATCTGGACTTGGATTTAACTGATGACAGAGTTACAGTAGAGAGTGTTGAAGCCACTCTTTAAGTATTTGCTTTTTGTTTAGTGTGAAAATAATAGCATGAGATTTGTTTTTTGGTTCATTACATGCTAATCAACCAACTCCTGCCTGTAATTATTTTTCCTTGCTTCTTGGTCAATAGCATTTCTTAGGATTTTTATTCTTACCCTAGCATTCTAATAGACTTTATGTTGCAGAGATGTACTTTGACAGAGGCAACTTTTATGACTTTACTTCCCTTGGTGAGTTTGTTTTGGCTTCATTTCATTAGCTTTGTATAGTTTCTACTCGGTTTTTTAAACTATTGATTTTGATTCTTTGTTTATAATTACCAACCCTTTACATTAGAAATAAAGAAAGATAGATATATGAAAGGAACTTGATGTTCCTGGACAGATATATGAAAGGAAAACATATCCTTTTGAGTTTTCTACAGTTGAGATGTCATATGAGACTTAGAACGGGAATGTGAGACTTAGGTAACTCTTAAGACATTGATAGTTACTTATATTTTCATTCTTAATTGTTTATCGAAGACTTGAAGTAAATATCTATTGGCAGCTTTTAGATTTTGCTACACTAGTGTAGTTGTGGTTATGGTAGTAGCATAGTGGAATACCAGGATTTTGTGGTAATCTCTCTCTCTTGGAATACCAGGATCTTTTGAGCATCATGCACACTTTTTATTATCTAACAGCCACCCCATTGTTAGTCCTCCCTCAATGGATCTTCCTATAATTTTATTGCCTTTGCAGATGGAAGTTGGAATCGAAGATTGTCTGCATATTATTGAGTTTGAGTACAACAAGAGCCAAGTATGTCATGACTAGGGTCTTGTGTTTGTCATTAGTGGTTTACATGCATGAGATGAAATCCGGAAACAATGGTTGTTTTCTGCTTGACATTTATCTGTTTGTGATGTTCAGTCCCAGCAGGAGATTCCCCTGTTGAACTTGATGTTTACAATTCAAAGGGCCTGGTGTGGCCTGGTTGGTACATCTTGCCTAGTTTGATCAACGGGAGGAACAAAGTGAAGAAACAAATCCATTAGATTGTTCCATCTTGCTAACTAAATAAACGGCGTCTCGCACTCTTACCTCACCTTTGGCGCCTTCTACTTTCATTCACGACCCAAGCTTCGATTTCAATCTGAAGTAAATGTTGATGAGGTTTGTATTGTAATATGAAGGGGAGAGGCATAAAGTTTAGAAGGAAAAACACTCAAGGGGATCTCTTGCTAGGTTCGACATAGAAGCACAGGTCTGACATAGGATTATAGACTATATAAATGTTTAGATCATGTATTTATGTTTAATTACTGTAAGTTTAATACATTATTTGATATCAAAGATTCCAAATAAGTGTTTCATTTTGTGAATTATGAATTGTATCAATGATGTTGGATTTTATTTTAGTTTGGAACCTGTAGTAAATTTTACATTTAACAATTTTGGTGAAGTTACTCAAAATAATGTCATTGTGGCGTCTCATTTGACGCCAAATAATTTTTTTTTTAAACCTGTTGCCAATTATTTGCGACGTTTAGTTTGCCGTCGCAAGTCTGTAGTAAATAATATTTGCGACGTGCTTAAAGCATCGCATATAATCGACCAACATTTACGACGCCTAGTTGTTGCGACGCGTTATTTTCCGTCGCATGCTCGTCATAAAAGGGCTATTGCGACGCTTTTAGCTACTTTTGCGACACGTTTTGACCGTCGCAAAAGGCCCTTTTTTTTGTAGTGCGTCTTATATATAGTCCTTAACTTATAAATTATAATTCCAACTTGTACAGTTTTTTCTCATAAATTAGAGCATAATTAAGAATAAACTAACAGTAAACAACCCTGCCTTATAATAACTATAATTAATTAATATAAACCAAGCTAATTAATCCTGGTCTTGAAACATTAGATCTTGGTGGATGACATTAACGACCTAGGCACAATGATGGCCTTGAGAGGGTTCTTCATGACAACTGTAAAAGCAAACGTCTCAGTCGGGTCCGGTGGCGCATCTGGAACCGGCAACCATTTAAAAGCATGCACCATCCGAGCAAGCAGCAAGTTGATATGCAAAGTCCCTAACGTCCACGCGGGGCAGATCCGCCTGCCAGCTCCAAACGGCACCATCTTCACCCCTTTGGTCCCGGTCACGTCCACGTCAACCCCGTCTCCTCCCTCCAAGAACCTCTCCGGTCGGAACTCACCCGGGTCCTCCCACATATCGGGATCTTCAGTCACCCATGCAGTGTAAAACTCCACGCTCGCATCTGCGGGCACAGTGTATCCGCCGAGCTCCGTGTTCTCCAAGGCTGCGTGTGACAGGACGAAGTGGCTCGGGGGGTGCCGCCGGAATGTTTCTTTCACCACCGCGGAAAGGTAGCTCATTTTTTCCACGTCACTCTCAGTGATCACCTCTTCGTGCGGCTTTTGTTCATTTGTGTAGGGACTGCGATCTGTCCCTACACAATCAACGATTTCCCTGTACAGCTTCTCTTGAATTTTTTGGTCCATCACCAAATGAAGCAAAGCCCACTCTAACGCCGTAGCACTAGTATCCGTCCCGGCATTGATGACTTCGGAGACAAGAGTCACGAGCTCCTCCTCTTCCAACCGCCTGCGGCCTCGGTCTTTCCCTCTCACCGGCACCTCCAGCTCAAACAAGGAGTCAATATAAGCAGCACCCTTTGGACTCACCATTATCTTTTTTACGTTTTCATCCTTAACATTATCACTTTCAAGAACAAATGCTTTTCTGTCTCTAACGAGTGGAACCAAACACTCCAACTGCCTCCTCCTCAGCTCCTTTGCTTCCCTGACTTGCCGGCGAAACAATGGAGTCAGCACCGGCAGGAAATCGGGGAGCTTTGGAGTTGTCATCATCATAACGTCTTTCAACACGCTCTCGATCGTCTTGATCTTCTCATCGGAGATCTTCGCCCCAAAGCACAAGCATATAAGGATACTACAGATGGTGAGCCGGCACTCGCTCATCACATGAACGATGCTATCTTCGGACTTTATCAGCCTGTCCATGTGGGATTTGATAGCCCAGTGTCTGATCCAGCTATACTGCCTTATCCTCGCCGGGTTGATCAGCTCGGTGACGAAGTTTCTCCGCAAGGTACGCCAGAAAGGACCGTACTCTGCCGAGTTGATGGCACACTTTCCGACGCTGAACAGGAGGCGGATGGGGGAATCAGCAGGCCGGGACGCGAACTCGGGACCTCTCTGGACGAGGGCCTCGTGTATGAGGTCGGAGCTGGTGACGATTATGAGAGTCCGCTGCCCCATCTGCATGGTGAAGATTGGTCCGTACTTTGCACGTAAGTCGCGGACGACGTAGATGAAGTGCCGCCGTTGGAGGATGACTTGGATTAGGTTTCCCACTATCGGCCACCCTGGCGGCCCCGGCGGCAGGTTTTTAGGCCCGCCACCAGTAACTGACCAGTAGCGCCACCATAGCCGGAAAAAGATAAGCCCCAAACACACCAGAACGACGTCCATCATCACCCCCTCCATGGATAATATTATAACCTTAGCTTAGCTTACCAACTTTCTCTCTAGAACCAATACAAATTTAAAAGCAAAAACGAGAGGAATGATTAAGGTGATGAAGTTGCTGAGTACTATATAGAGAGATGCGTGGGCTTGAAAGCTATGGATTTGATCTTTCTTCGGAACTTTAACGAAAAGTTTCCAGTACTTTTCATTTTAACGAAAAATCACATTTTACACTAAAAAATCAATATTGACACTATTCATTTTACCTTTTATTTTATTTTTATCATTAAAACTCAAAGTTTTCAAATCATTTTTATTAGTTTTCTTATCTTCTTAACCCTAATATATGGGTAATTTAATTTTACACCATAAAAGCATTAACTGTTGGAACATTTATTGATTCACCTACTCATCTTTTGCAACCTGCTTGCGCTTCAACTGGTCAAAACAGTCACGTTTTCTTCTGCAAATGGCTTGTTTTACTGACAGAGCAATGAATTTGATTAGCTGGGGGAGGGCTGGTGAAACAGTCATAACTTGGTAATGTGCTAATTTAACTTGGTTCGGGCGAAATCTTTTAATGTACCAGAAATACGATGGTATATCACGTATTACTATATAATTTATGATATATTTATATTAAAAAATTAACAATACTTAAAAATGAAATTTTTCATCAGTTATATAATAACAGATGATGTATCACTTGTGTTCTGAACATATAAAAATTTTCTCTTAGTTCAGAGTTCAGTCAACTTCTTACGTGGATAACCTGTTAATTCCATAAAACACTATGGTTATGTTTGAGCGAAGGATCACAAGTCACAACGAGTAAGGAATTGGTAAATTTCTCTCATATCCTTTTGTAAATGCTCATGAAAGATATTTTTCATTTCTCTTATCTAATTTTAGTAATTTATTCCTTAATAATTTGAGCTCAATTGTTTGGGACTTGAAAATCTTTCACCCAAACATATATACCTTAAGCAGGGACAGACCGACTTAGGGACAAAGAGGGTCATCTGACATTTCGAACTTCGGTGAGTCTCCATGAATGACTTGGGTACTATCTCTTTGAAGGTTGGAGTTGCCATTCATATATGTCCTCCAACTACTTGAAAAAATGCGTTAGAGAGGTGACTACAATGCATTAGGACTTTACAGTCTGGTCCTAATATTATTTACCTTTGTCTTGTTTGTTGATTGTGATTACAATTGTAGGAAATAAAAAAAGAACGAAGTAAAAGACTATTCAAAAATGCAAAGTAAATGAAATGGTAATCTCAAGAATGAACAAAGCTTCATCATTCTTGGACAAACATATTTATGGGATGCAATGATATCAATCAATTTGTTAGTGTGTTCAAGATAAGTGTGTTGCTTTGTTAAACATTCATATGGGAGCAGCCTTAGAACATGTTAGTTACCCACTTTAGTCTCACTAGCATTATACTAATTAAGTAATTATAGGTAAAGTTCATTGTTTTGGTTTTGGTTCATGTTTCATATTAAGGGTAATGTTATGGAGACTAAATTTTGTAAACTAAACGATGAAAGTTGATGATTTGATTATTACTTAAGTGCTTATTAATGTGCTTATTTCGTATTGGTGACACATCATTTCGTCTGCATATTTAATCTACAAATTTAGTCTCCCCTTCGTATTAAATAAGGAACATAAATTGATATACTCCTAGTTCATGTATGGGTAATACTATAGAGATTAAATTTGTAGACAAAATTTGCAAACTAAATGATGTGTCATCAATAGGAAATGAGCGCGTTTATTAATGCTAAATCAATAATCCAATGGTCAAGTTTCATGTCATTTAGTTTACAAATTTAATCTTCCTAGCATCGATCAACAACTTATCAAAGTTTCTCTCGTTGAGAATATTGAATATTGATTTTTTTGAAATTTGGATCAGATATACGAGAATAACTTGTATAAAATGATGATAACAATAGTGGTGTCTCACCGATCAAGTGATGCTATATATAAAAAAAAATTAAAGCACACGATGCCGAGTGATAATATTAAAACACCGTGACTTTATCGTTCTCGTCACTTAAGTCTAGATATATATACCGGAGACCAAATGAGTGATCTTGGGTAAATAGTACTTTGATATTAAAAAGCAAGACATAATGTTGTATCTATTTTAAGTTGATATCATGAAATTTCTATGGACGCCAATTAATCGTGAGTAAATTGTAGCTATTGTTCTTTAACTTTAACTTAATTGGAGCAATGATCCCTCAACTAAAAATTCATTACCATTGGTCCCTCAACTCATCAAAACGTGCAACTATGGTTCCTCAACTAAAAATTCATTATCATTGGTCCCTCAACTTTAATTCAACTTGAGAAATAGTCCATTAACTTTAACCCAATTGTAGCAATGGTCATTCCAACATAACTCATTTTGACAAAATTTTTTATGTAGTTGACGAAAATGACCATAATTACACACTTTGATAAGTTGAGTAACCCTAATTATATAAATGGTTATTCCAACATAACTTATTTTGACAAAATTTTGACGAAATTGATGAAAATGACTATAGCTACACATTTTGATAAGTTGAGGGACCAATGATAATGAATTTTTAGTTGAGGGACCATTGCTTCAATTTGATTAAAGTTGAGGAACCATTACTACAATTTACTCATTAATCCTTGGCAGGACCATCAACTTTGTATATGTTATTTATTATACACTAATTGAGCATTTTGTTACATATTCGTTCCAGTGGAATGCTTTATTTTATTGCTTGTCATTAGAAAGAAGTTTTCCTTATCACATATCACATATTTATTTTTTACAAAATATTTGATCGATATTTTCGTAAATTTGCACATCGATATTTCTGTCGATACGAATATATTAAACACTGAATATACTTC